CTCTATTATATTGATATATTACAGAGGTCCTGTATTGCTAAAACTGACACATGCACTTACCTTACACCGATGGCTGAACCTGTAAAAAAAAAAAGAAGCAATATCAGATACTGTACAAGGTTTTATTGAAGCCATTCAATCAACTCTTATCACAATATCTTTTTTTGAGAATGCAGCTATAATACAAGGAAATCATTAAGAATTAAAGTCAATTATTGCCTAATACATATTTCATGTACCAGTGACTTTCATACCTTATTTTTTTTTTAATTTTATCAAATTATTCACACATAAATCACTGAAAAATTTAAAAAGCAAAAAATGCAATAATAATGTATGACACTGATTACTTAACCTCCATTCTTTGTGTAACCAAAGAACTACATTACTGAAATTTTCATAAAAAAATAATTTACAAAATATTGAGATACAGTTGCTAATGTAAGAATACAACAAGTACAGAGTATAGACGGGTGGAATGATGGAATTTAATTATCGAATATCTTATGTTTCTGTTGAATAGGGAGCCAGATAATCCTAAAGCAACGGGCATGTCCACTGTACACTAAAAGGAATTCTGGAATTACTGCTCTTAGACACATTTTTGGAAATATTTAAGACCAAGGGCAAGGGTTATCTAGCAGTCAAAAAAAGAACCTTTATAGAAAAAACCTCTTACCTACCCCAGGAGTAAAGCAAATTGAGTGGAGGAATATCACTTTCCAGAAAGGTTCCTTGTTTATGCTACATAATTTTCCAATGGCAATTCTAGACATTTACAAAAGGGGGTTGTGACCTACCAAACGGGCACCAAAGAAAATTCAGACTGTTACGACCCTCCTCCTTTCACCGCTTACCCAGCTTCCACCACTGGTTACCAGCGGCTAGGGTTGTAGGTACAGAGCAGTAGATATCACAGAAGAGTTGTCGAAATATCACTGGCTGTCCCGCCAGTCTCCGGTAATGCCCGACGATCGGTATCAGTGTACAGACAAACAACAGGCGGGTAGATTTTCGCCAGGTCACAGAAACACACTTGTGCAATGTAGTCTTCTTTAATAAACAGTAATTCTTCACAACACTTTACAGGGTAATGTCTTCACAGCTTAACTCAGCACTTCATATATATAGTCGGCAAACTACCAGTTTACAATTCCTTAGTCGTCTCACTTTAAATTAATCACAACAATTCCACCATACTTGCACAACAATTGTCTTTTATTGTTCTGCTTGGCTTAGTCTTTACACTAGGAACAGAGGCGAACAACTAACTCACTCCTCGGCAGCTCGCAGCCTCTTATATATGGTTCGTCAGGTGCTGCTTGCAGTACCTTGGACAGAAGCACTCTCAAGCAACACTTTTTACATATCTTCTTCAAAATACTTCTTGAAATTGTTTAATATTCATGTTGGAATAATGCTTAGCAGCACTTGGGAAAGGCATATGGTGAAAAACACAAGCAGCTGGAGAAAGAAGAAGCGAATCACGGGAAATTTTTATGTAAGATCAGCTTTGTGAATCACCATGCCACCTGCTGCCATTTCTATCAAACTGGAGATTATGTACTGTACAAAGGGGCTAGTTTTATGGAGCAAGGATAGGTAAACAATAGCAAGGTACTGATGCATTTATTGAACTATGCTATACAAGATGTGTGTGAAAATATAAGGCTATATCTGTAAATATTAACCATGGAGGGTAGTTTAGAGGCCGCAAACGTGTTAATACTGTAATGACACAACAAGCTTATTTATATCCTACCTTGTCATTAAATTCCTGGTAAGCCAAATCCAGCCTCAGGTTCGCTAAGGCATAATGCATTGTTTTTCAGTTTCAACTAAATTGAATAATAATTAAATGAAATGAGTGTTCATTATAATGTACTATCTACTATCAATGAAGTGTTATTATTGATGACTACAGAGTTAAACAGGCCTGTGACCCCTAAGTGTGACAAGGCTATTAGTTTATCAGGGTTAATACATGACTACAATACTCTGTTTTTCTAGTTACAAGAGAAAACAGAAAATATCACTATATTGTACAGGTAAATAACATTGGAGAAGATGTATATGCTTAAATCTATCAACATAATACAGTACTAAAGTTCATGCTGAAAAAAAATAGGATTCTAAGAAACACCGGTGACAGAAAATTAAGAACAACGATATTATATTTTCCAGTCAATATCAATATTATATATTGTAATATATATAAAACAATTGTTTATTTTGTCATGTAATTACAGCAAACTTTAGTTTTAACACAAGACTGTTCCTCCGTAATCATAATGAGCCAGAGTTTTTTTTTTATAAATAGTGACTGGTAGAGCAGAAATTATACCTGTATGCTCAGCAAATCTGCAGTTGTGTTTGCATGTACAGCATGGAAGACTGCAGTCTTGTTACAGCTAATACTGAACATGTAGTATATTTAACTCACTATATTCCATAACATTTAGTAAGGCTCAAGGTTAATATTTCCAGATATATTGTGCATTTACATTTACAAAGAAGTCGACCTTAGAGGAAAGACGAAAGATTACTTATGACTAAAGATCCAGAATTTTGTTTGTTTATACTACAGTATTAATAAGAAATGAAGATAAGCCTTATGTACTTCCTTGTTAAGATATATATATATATATATAAATATATATATATATATATATATATATATATATATATATATATATATATATATATATATATATATATATATATATATATATATATATATATATATATATATATATATATATATATATATATATATATATAGATTCTTGCTGGTATATTGATTATATGTTCATCCGTGTTATATGGATATATATATATATATATATATATATATATATATATATATATATATATTATCTGCATGCAAGGTAAGGCAGTTATACAAATGGTATATCAATACATTTCTGTACATACTTTCTATTAGAGGTTTTGCAGACACTATCAGTACATTTCAGCTTCCTCTGTGGATCTCTTCACTGCCACCAAGACAACACCGTTTCTTATGGTCTAAAAAAAAATATAAATAAAAGACAAGGTATTACATTTCTTTGCGATGACTTGAACACATGTTGACACATTATCTGCGATGAAGTAAATAGATATTAATATGCTATATACAGTAAAACCAGCAGATGTGTACATGTAATAACATCTACATTATGTAGGTAGACATCTAGTGACCAAGAATTGCACCTGCAACATAGTAGGCAGCAGTGTTAAGTGTGCTGGGCTCACAATCTACAGTACACAGAGCACATTCAGCCAGGCGCCTCTTAGTGTAACAAAAAAGTGGAAGTTCACTCGTGCCAACGCTATCTTCCACGACCATAGCAATACACATTTTACTGAAAATTGAGTCTCATGATATTGTTAAATGTAAATTGTTTCAATACCAGTCATAATAACTCACTATCGATGAGTAAAAAGAGATCTCGGCAAATCAGGATGAGAAAAAAATAAAATGCTTTGCATCACACATGATGGTTGCAACAAGATTTATTCCTGAACTCCGAACAGCAAGACGAGACTCGGGATCAATTAGCCAGCTCTCACCTGTAACTAAACTGCGGGGATCAATAAAAAGTCTCTGGCTATGTTGGCATAAAAGAGTACAATAACTTTGGAATCAGAATTTATCAGCTACTTGCTGCTAAGATCAACATAAAGACGAGCTGACATTACCAGACATATGGGGGACTTCTTTTTGAGTAAATGCCTTGGTACGATGAGTCACAATATAGGGACAGAACCTTGATATCAGTCCTGAGCGACCAGCGCCAAGACCATTGCCATATAACTCCTTTGCTTTATGGTATTGTCTAAATGATAATAGTAGTAAATTATAATGAGTTAAGGAGAGTGGTCAGACTCGACCAGTAGGAAAGAGGTGGATGAGAAGCAGCCAGGCCTATGTAACAAAATTTAACATTTACAACTTGAGTGGATAATGCGAGCTGATCAACATGTTTTTTATCTGACATTCAGCGGTTTTCAGACTATATTACCATGCACATCACTAAATACAACAAAAGTATCATGGATAGTTTTTATTTGCGTAAAACACTCTCAAAATTTGTAACACAGATCAATCTGGGAATCAGTATAATTTCAGCTTGACATAAAAGATGTAATCTGCCCATTTTGGCCTTTAAAAAAAAAAATATACATTGATACCTCAGAGGAACTCACAAACTAGCAGAATACTATAAACAAATAGATCTTAGCCCAAACGGATGTATGTGGTAGAATAATCATGCTAGTAATGAGCAGTGTATCCATCCAGGGCAAACAAGCAGACATTTTCTCTCCTTACATGGACAAGTATAATGCAACACCTTGATACTATTACTGAGTGATATGATGTTGCATGTGGTGAGGCATAGTGTAATGGTGTAGTTTGGCACAGAATGTTGTAGTTTAGTCACACAATGGTTAGGCGTGCTATGGTACTAATGGTCCTGGTGGAAGTGGTACTAATTGTTGTAGTGGTGGTGGTGGTACTAATAGAATAGTTGTATTGATGGTACTAAAAGTTGTGGTTATGGTGGTGATACTAATAGTTGTAGTGATGGTGGTGGTACTAATTGTTGTAGTGATGGTGGTACTAATTGTTGTAGTGGTGGTACTAATTGTTGTAGTGATGGTGGTACTAATAGTTATAGTGATGGTGGTGGTACTAATTGTTGGAGTGATAGTGGTGGTACTAATTGTTGTAGTGATAGTGGTGCTACTAATTATTGTAGTGATGGTGGTGGTACCAATGGTTATGGTGATGGTGGTACTAATGATTGTGGTGGTGGTGGTAATGGTTGTGGTGATGGTGATACTAATGGCTGTGGTGATAGTGAAGGTGGTACTAACTATTGTGAAGATGGTGATAGTGGTGGTAATATTAATGACTGTGGTGGGAGTACTAATGATTGTGGTGGTGATACTAATGGTTGTGGTGAAGTGGTGGTGGCACTAATGGTTGTGGTGAGGTGGTGGTGGCACTAATGGTTGTGGTGAAGTGGTGGTGGCACTAATGGTTGTGAAGGTAATGGTAGTCATGGTAATAATGATGGTGGTTGTAGTGGTAAATGAGTGTTCAGGTACCATACAGTAGTACCCACTGTCACCAACACAGAATATTTCTGACAACACAGTACTGTATATCCGTCTTATCACTGAGAATATTACTGTACATCAAATCTTATAAAACTCTCCTTAACACAAAATATTTACCGTAATCCACAGTTATATAATGAATGTTCCCCCATGAAATATTCAATTTACTCTTTACAAGGAATATTCTTTTGACAAAATTTCTAAAAAAGTATCTTTGAGCAGTGCAATAGGAGCATGTCAATAGACATATCTGTTTCTAAGGTGATCAATTTATTTGACTTGATCAACAAGGTCATATTTTATTGCTTTGAATACTTTAGTTCTCTTGCAGGGAAGGTGTGGTGTGTTGTGATACTCCACACGGGTCACTACAAACATATCACTACAGTACCACCTAAAACTACATCCATAACAACAATCTTTGTTTATACAATCATGTACTGTATATAATAAAGTGATTTGCATTTATGCAAATATTGACAACAATGTGTTTGCAGAAATTCCTACCAATACAGTCTTCCAAATTGGAAAAGAATAAAGAATTTCTAGTCTTCAAAAAAAATAATAATTTTGCAAGAGAACAAAGCCTCTGGATATAGGAAAAGTTGGGGTCAAAAGTTTGGTACCTTCCAATAAAACAGTACACCCACACCAGACAACAGTCAGGGTATGTAAGTTGGAGACTCATTCCCGTGACTCAGTTTCATCCCAAGGGAGAGCTTTTGTCCACAACTGTACACTATCACCATAAAACCATCAGAGGGGTTCACACTGTGTTGTTGTCCTCTGCCCTGTGTGAGCATCAGCAGGTCCATCCTGTCAAGTTGTTACAAACATTCTAAAGTTTCCAGATTGGCTCAGTTTGTTGTCCACAAAATATCACAGGCTATAGCAGTAATTTTGGGGAGGAGTGAGTACCATATTGATGATGTTACACATCCGTAAGGAAGATGAGCAGATTGGAGGAGGTGCAGCAAATGGAAGGGGCAGAGAAAGTTGAGAAAATAGGAGAAATGTAATGAAATAATTATGAATTAGGATAGCAAGAATGGAAGTGAAAGTGGTGGTGTAGAGGGAAGAGGAAGAGGCTGAGAGAAGATAAAAGTTAGAGCGAAGGCTATAACGACACACAAAATCAATGTGGCATCTTCAACACCTCAAACAAAAATTCATTTTTATACAAACTTAGCAAAGACAAACAACTCATGAGCAGAAAGTAATTCCCATAACACTTGGGAGGCTCGTGGTTGAGCACCTTTAAAGTGGGGAAGTCGATATATTAGCCACTGCTGACACGGATGACAATGTTACTCTACAGATGATGGTACCAAGGATCACCTCCAGCAGGAGTGACTATGGTGCCCCTCACCACCACCAGTAGGAGTGTGTGTGTGTGGCACTCCTCACCACCACCAGCAGGAGTGTGTTGGTAGATTAACAAAACTTTTATAAAGTACAATAATGAATCATCTACATAAATTTATTCAAGATAAAAAACCTTTACCAGAGACTCACGACGATAACCAGCAACTACCATCATGTTTTTTTTTTATAATATGACTGACTGTAACTTATAATGTATGCCTTTATCACCTATTAATGTTAAGACTCATGCCAAGGAAGTGGGGGAGCCAATGTTTTAGTGAAGAACTATGGTAAGACAGAAGCAGTTCCATGATAATGTGAAGATAAGAGATATAGTAAAGTTATGGTGCCAAAGTTATATTGTCATAATGCCATGGTTAACTAGAGGTACACCAGTTCCATCATGCTGTAGGGACATTACTATGTTTATGTTATAGAATGGTGGTTTGAAGACTATCATAATGATGGCAGCCAATGTCATATAGGTATGGGCAGAACAATGGTGATGTGGAGGCAGTGTTGATTGAGTTGATGGTAGTAGGATACAGTGACATGGTGTGTAGGTAAAGATTCATACAGGTGTGAGTAAATGCCATGGTGATGTAGGGTAGTACCATGGTAGCAATGGACTGTATCACATGGAATGGGTCAACAGCATTGTGGTTTAGGGCAGTAGAGTACCATGGTGATATGGGTCAATGGTATGGTAATGTGGGACAGTTCCATGATGGTAATGGACCATCTCATTGTTACAATGGGCCTTGCCATGGTGGTGTAAGACAGTACTGTACCAGGATGGTGTAACAGTGTCAGGGTAGTGTGAGGCCTGTTAACAAGTTAACTATACAGTACAGTACTCTATCCTCTGATAAAAGACACACTAGTCCAATTTAATAGATCCACATATCTTACATAATACTGTACAGGCAGTCCTAGATTTACAAAGATCCAGTTTATGAAAACCCAAAGTCACAAAAAAAAAAATTGTTCCAGGTTCTGATTTACATCTGGTTATGAATTTTGTTCTTGCTATTTTTTGGATTTATTTTATTTATTTATTTATTTATCTATTTATTTATTTTTTTTGTGGCAGCATGAAGATGCTGTGCTGCTGACACTGGCATCTCAGGGCTTATAATAGTGAAAACAAATTAGCCAGTAATTAGGTCACAGGACAAACTCGAGACATTACATTGCTAGAATGTAATGTTGGACACCCACAACATTTTGATAGCAATTGTAGCACTGTTATGGGTCAGGATCTTTAAGATACAGTATTAAGTGAATAATTTTCTTCCGTATTGTGAGTAACCATGGAAAACCCATTCAGGTAATACCTTGCCAAGACTAAACACAAGCAGAAGTACATACAAACATAAGAAGTGCCAACAATACCATGTAGGTAAGAGTTGAGTTTGTTTTCTCTATGAATACCAAACCATTCCATTTCACACATTACTGTATATTAAACAGTATTTTGCTTGCATATTTCTAAGATTTTAAGCGAGTTGTATTTTTTTAAATTATTATATACATTATTACTGTGGTAATTGCAGCCAGGGGCGATTAATTAGTATACAGTATATGTATTGGCTCAGTATTTCCTACTTTTTATCATGTCGTCACATCATCTCAGTAACTTTGTGCGTGTTGTTTAAAGCAAACGACATTTACTTCTCAAACTCCTTTGGATTACTCTCTACCTTGAACTCGAAATTTGACAGGTGAACAAAGTATTGTACAGTATTAGTGAAAGTTATGGTGGTTGAAAACCTAAGCAAGCTAAGATGATTAATTTTGAAACTAAATTGGAAATCCTATATAAATTTGATGAGAGAACATGAATCAAAGATAGTGCCACACATTTCTTGTATGAATAAAATTATTACTCTACTGCATGCATTTCACTTATTATGTTTATTATTGGCTTATCATTGTAAAAACCAAAACATTTCTTTAAAATTTTGTTTTGTAGTATTTTAAGACATTTTTTTTATAAGAATGTATCTCAGCTTTTATGCTGGGAGTCCATGAGAAAATAGGACCTGATTTACAAAAAATAATATAAAAAAGGTTTTTCTGGAAAGGAACCCTTATATAAACTGGGTACTGCCTGTACTACATATTTTTGTCACATTCTGCGAGTTCTCAAAATTCCTTCCAAAACATTTTTAATACAGTAGTATTGATTTTTTTCTTAAGGAGAGGTTAAATATGATGCAGTGGGTGAGCAGCACAATAGAAATAGGTGGGGTAGGATGTTTTTTGTTCACTAATATATTCGTGGGAAAAATTTAATTTCTTGAAGAGACCAAGTAAGAAAACATCATCTTGGGTGGGTACCAAGGATGTATGCTGGTTGGTGGGCAGGTAGGTAAGGTGAATGAGTTATCTTCCCAGCGATAAATAGGTGAGTAAGTTAACCAAGGAGAGGCGGACGCCACCCTGGGCCAAACTGGGAGTCATATGAACACTTCCACACGCGGTCGTCTTCACTGTAGTTCATCAGCTTAGCCATCTGGATGCTTCCCTGAAACATAAACACCACCATCACTAACAATCAAGGAGATAGACAGCTGTGTATTATGGAGGGGAAGAAAAACAAGAGGAGTAGACTGACTAGGACTGATAAGAGAGAGAGTGAGGACAGAGATAGAAAGGAAGTGGGGAAAGACAGGAAGAGAGAGGGGATACATTAGGAATAACAAGATATACAGGGAAGGATGGTAGACAAAGGATGTAAGGAGAATAAAGACATGGAATGGGAAAAGAGAAAAAGCAATAGGGTATAAAGGTCATATTAAACAGGCATGGAGGAAGGAACAGCCATGCAGTCAAGAGAAGAGAGGGAAAATGGGCTACAGAAAATATTAAAGATGTGAGAAGGTGAATGCTGCATTTTTCCCCTACTCCACAGCCATGTATTGCATTAGAACTTTAAAAGGGACGATACCAACTAACAGCGAGGAAATTTGTTTCATTAATAATATAATATTAAATGCCATTAACAGTATTGTAGTAAAGGTTTAAATTAATAATACTGTAATAGAAGGCATTAATAATAGAGTATTAAATAAAGGTTTCAGTTAATATTGTAGTAAAGGCCATTAATAACATTGCAATAGAAGACATTCACAATATTTCAACATCAGGACAAATGCAACAGGCCACTTGTGCACCATGTTCTATATAAACTCCAGACATACTGTACTGTATACTGCACTGTACAGTACAGTATATATTTCATCTCCTTACTCTCTTCCTATAATTAATTTTTCTTTTTTGTGTGTTCCTCTTCCACCCCCCCCCCCTTTGTTATCTTTTATCATTTCTCTACTTCTCCCTTCGTCCTCCAGGAATCTCACTCTCCCAGCCACCAGGGGTCTCACTCTCCCACCCTCCAGGGGCCTCACTCTCCCACCTTCCAGGGGCTTCACTCCCCTACCCTCCAGAGGTCTCACTCTCCCACCTCAAGGGGCTTCACTCTCCCAGCCTCCAGGAATCTCACTCTCCCACCCTCCAGGGGCCTCACCCTCCAGGGGCTTCACTTTACCACCCTCCAGGGGCCTAACCCTCCCACAGCCCACACCTCCAGGTAATCTCTCCATCCCACCCAACATGACCGCTAATAAATAAAGTTATGAGAGGAGGAAGATTAAACTTAAACCCCGACAAGAATAGTAAAGGCCAGGGTATTCTAGGGAAAAACCCAGTGCAATAAACAGAGCTTTATAAAATATGCAATGTCGGTATAGTTTTTAATTTCACACACACACACACACACACACACACACACACACACACACATATATATATATATATATATATATATATATATATATATATATATATATATATATATATATATATATATATATATATATATATATATATATATATATATATATATATATATATATATATATATATATATATATATATATATATATATATATATATATATATATATATATATATATATATATATATATATATATATTATATATATCCTAAGCTTACCACTTTGTCACTCTACTATTACTCACAATCAACTTATTCTTTAGCCCTGGCTCTTGGCGAAAGTACAGGAGTCCACCTTCAGGTATCTGTAGGTCGATGTGGCCAGCGAGGCGTTGTTTATCATAGTCGGCACAGTTTATCCATACCCTTACATCTGTTTGGTTGACACTGATCAAGAGGCGCGTCCATGTCCACCCGACCTATGAGATAAAGCAATAGGAAGGTGGATCAGTTAAGGTGAATTGCAGGAATTGATCAACATCTGTACATAGGTCTCATTTACAGTGACCACCTGATACTGTACAGATGCTAAAGGATCTCAATATTAAGAGTGCACTTGTAAGAAGAGGTTGAATGCTTGCAATATTTTTTATTAAACAACCAAATTTATAACTCAAGACACACAGTGGAAAACTTATACTGTATGAGTGTTTTTGGCATCGTGGTTAGAAGAAGTGTCATCCTGAACTTACCTTATCTGGGAGTTGGAATGAGGCCTGGTGGGTCTTGGTGTCTTCCTTGATGTGGTAGAAGAAGTTGAGGTGTTGTGTCTTAAGGTTGGAGACGATCTGTGTCAAGATATAGTCAAGCTAGAGACCAGACACTTTGGGACCATGTGGCTGTGTAACTGTCTGCTGTATTTTGCTCGGACATTGTTTGTGTGAGTTGAGGTATTGCATGCATGAGTGTGTGTGCGTGTGTTAAATGTATTTATGTACCCTGTATGTACTCGTGGCTGTATCTATATTATGTATGCAAATGCAAGTGTACTTGTCCATGTGTTCGAATAATATTAATAGAACATTAAGGGAAAATATTCAGTTATTACATGAAAAAGCTTCTTGATCTTCAGTATGTGGCGTGTGGGATGGTGATGACTGATGGATGTTTGAAGTAAAGTTTCCACAGCTGGCAGGGTGAAGCTGTAAGCCGAGGTCAGAGCAGTATACTGTACAATACTTTTATTACTATTATTATTATTACTCTCATCATTTTTATTATTTGTTGTTGTTATTATTACTGTACAAAAATATTCATTAATAACTTCTCAAGTCTATAATAAATTTACTTTTTTCTGACCTGTAAGAAAGGTTTGATCTTGCCCGGCAGGTTGATGGAGAGGAGGGAGCCAAGTGTCTTCTTGTGTTGCTTGTACACGAAGTATAGACTCAGCTGGTCATGTAGGGTTGACGCTATCTGTGGGATGACGAAAAGGTCAGTGTATCTATGTAGTAATATCACCCCTGACACCTGGTGACCTGGTGGTGTGGGAATGCATAACCTGGGACCTGGTCCTCCTAGTACTGTAATGTACTGAGTTATTTAGCTAGATGATAAATCTTGATATTAAACCATCACACACGAGTTTAAAAAATTCAGAATGACAACATGGATAAGTTTCAGGTATACATAAACACGACCACAAAATACACCTATAAACATGTATATAATTAGACACTATCACAAGCACACATGCAAAAATAAATAAACTTACCTTATTTACCTAATGGCCACCCAAACAAGAGGTGGCCATGTCGATGGAAGTCCAGTGTCCTGTGCAGGATTCCTCCTTCGTTTTTTATAGGTTTGTCTAAGGCTATTTTGAAGTTTGGTACTCTTCTCGATTCCACAGCTACAAATGGTAGACTGTTCCATAGATTTACTACCCTCTGTGAAGAAGTATTTCCTTATATTTGTCCTACATGGTATCTTGGCGAATTTGAAGTTGTCCCTCGTAAAAATGGCCTGGGATAACGTTTTCCGTTCCTTTCTAAATTTAGAATATCTCGAGACCTGCCATATTGTGACACATAAATCAAATTATAAGACATTACACATACAAACACACCCACTTGTTCACAATTCCAAATTTGGGGATTGAGGAAGGACGCACCTGTACCAAAACAAGCGGACAAACTGGGGTACAGTCATTACACCTTGCGACGAATTGTTTTGATCAATTCTCCACTGTACTACATGTTATTATCACCTGTAGTGGTTCCTTGCCTCTTGTTATACTATTATCATCATCATCTATACGGGTCATCTGCTTCTCGAATTCACCTGCCATGATTTTATACATGTTATCACCTACAGTAATACCGAGGCTATTTTAGTTATCAAGACGTATACTGCCAAACCTACCTTACCTGACGTTGTGCCACACCTACCTTACCTGACGTAGTGCCACACCTACCTTACCTGACGTAGTGCCACACCTACCTTACCTGAAGTATAGTGCCACACCTACCTTACCTGAAGTATAGTGCCACACCTACCTTACCTGAAGTATAGTGCCACACCTACCTTACCTGAAGTATAGTGCCACACCTACCTTACCTGAAGTATAGTGCCACATCTACCTTACCTGAAATATAGTGCCACATCTACCTTACCTGAAATATAGTGCCACACCTACCTTACCTGAAGTATAGTGCCACATCTACCTTACCTGAAGTATAGTGCCACATCATCTACCTTACCTGAAGTATAGTGCCACCTACCTTACCTGTAGTATAGTGCCACATATACTTCACTTGACACAGTACCACACATTCGTCACCTGACATAATACCATAACAATGATCCACGAGGCACAGTCACGGTATTGGAATCTGAATAAACATTATTTTCACTTCAAGTTATCTCCTTACATGCAAGTTACCTGAGAATCTCTATGTACTGTATGTGTTACCTTAGGAACGATGGAGGAGTCAATCTGGATGTTGTCATATAGAGCTCGGAGTCTCCAGGCTGGGGTGTCTGGTATGGGTCCCCGTGCTGCCGACACCCCCGTCTGTGACACGTTGATGCTCAGCAGCTGAAGGATGTCCCACTCTGTCGAATGAAGACTATCGTTACATACAGCACAGGACTCGTCTTCTCGGTACAGTACACTAGGTCAGGGAAAGCCACGGTATACAAGACTTGGTGGTGTTGATGGAAGGGAAGGAGAGGCTGAAGATATATTTCCATATAATTAATGGATCACCTGAAGATTAGCTCCCAATTTAGTTCACCTAAAGATTAATCACTTTAACGTTAATGCTACCCTAACCTAGCTTAGATTTCCCTAACCTATTTAACCTAACCCTACCTGATCTAATCTAACCTAACTTAACCCTCCCAGGTAGTGTTAAAGTGTTTAATCATCAAATTAAATAAGCTGGGGCGACTAATCTTCAGTTAATTAAATTTAGTTTCCATTTTGTGTAATGTATAAGTATTTTTTACTAACACTTTTGTTTAAGTAAGTCTCACAATCCAGTTCAACACATTTATAAACATTTCTTCATACAACTCTCTGGTATTAACTTAGTTTTATTTTATTTTGACAGTAACAGCAACACAACTAACACACGGGTGTGCCTGAAGGTGTAAGAGAATGACTGAGTGGAGCCTTAATGATGCCTACAAGCAAGGAGAATACTGATTACCTTAATGAAGTGCCCAAGGTGAGTTTCGCAAGTCTCTACAGTATACTTTCCCTCATTTTAATAACTTCCTCTAAGTAATTATACATATACTGCATGATGAAAGTGACCCAGAAGAGTGTTGAAGATTACAGTACAACAATTGGGACAAGTTATTTTTATTATAAGTATCAAACAATGAAAGGTACGATCAGTCGCCTGTACTTCATCTGTTCTCTACACTAACACACTCAGTCATAACATCAAACAGGGCCATTATTAACACTATGGTTTGTACCACATCCAGCGTCTTCACACAATATATACGTCACGTATCCTACTGCTTCCAATATGGCGGACCGAAAATTGGATGACTACGTGAAAAGGATGAACTGAAAGACTTTTTTATATCCGTGAGTGTTGTTGTGTACAGTGAGGCAGGGACCTACAATCTGTTGTTTTGTGTCATGACCTATAGATCTCATCGGTTGATTATCGAACCTGAGTGTTTGAAGACAATAGTTCAAAGATAGTTAAACGACCTTTGATCATGACTTAGTAACTTAAATCTTTGCTCACTGTACCAAAAATGAGAAATTATCAAGTTAATCCTTCAAGAATTAAATCGAAAGCTCCTTTGGTCTGGATGGCCATCAGTAGTGTAGTCGACCGCGCTCTGTTAATGGGTGGGTCAGTGGCCTCTGTCAGTTCCGCAACTCTCTGCTGTCACCCGCCCTCCGCCTTCCTCTGCAGGTCTTTTACCGAGTCTCTCCGCCATGTTCTTGGTCCAACTGTCATCTGTCTTCCACACTCTCTTCGCCATCTTTTCTTCTTCCATTCCCTTGTCCGCGTTATATCTTTAATAATTCAGAATTCAGAAAGTGAGCAACGTAGACATTTAAAATAAAAATACGCATTACATTAAATGGAAAGTAAGATCTATTTAAAAAAAAATAAAAATAAATCCTCTACAAGATAATTTAATTTTGTTTTTCACAGTTTGTTTCATAAATTTCGAGTTCTGACCAATAGTTGCTCAAGGCTTTTGTCAACATAAGAACAATACACAAAGTAAAAAAAGGGGGAGGGAGATAGACAAAGTTTTCAAATTTCCGCCTCTTACAAGTCTTAAAGGTATACTCGCAGTACTGTATACACCTCAATCAGAAACTCGAACGACAATCTATGATGAAATTCTTAATGAAGAAAACCTTTAGAGACTGAGGAAACTTGGCAAGAAGAGACGCAAACAATTTCATCAAGTCTTTAAGATGTGACAGAAAAACCCTTTATCAAACACTGACAGATGCAACGTTGTCTTCAAGCTTTATGGCGGAGATGTTTGGCCTTCCCAATTTATTTTTCTATCTCGTCTCTACTGTCGATCGATGTGTTGTGTTGACGATGGGACGACAGGAATAATGCGATCTTCAGATGTTTTGGTTGAGTTGTGTTTAGAGCGTCAAGTTGAGGTCGCGTACTTAACGATACCTAGATAATTGTTTTTGCTCTCTCGTCGTAACTGAGGGAAGAGGTGGGCGTGTTTAGTGCCGTGCACACTAGGGGGAGAAATGAAGATGTCTGAAGTAGTGTGTGTGGTGATCAGAGGGAGACTGGAGGGATCATGTGCGAAAATTTGAGTAAGTTTAGGACAAATACGGAACGAAGCTTCATCATAAGTGGTCGTTGTGAAGCTAAAAGAGAATATTCTGCTTGAAAAGAAGACAATTTAATAATGTACTTTAGTAAACACACTAACTGTTCCTGGTGAGTTGGTGGCTAGTTCTGGGAATGCGGCTAAAGTATTATCATGTTCTTAACTATGGTGAAGTGGCGCTGACGGATGAGTTAACTTTACAAACTTAAAACCATACGGACTCATCTTGGCACAGCGACCATATAACACCTCTCAACAATGACGTGAAGAAAACTGGCGACTGGGATATTTTAATAGAGTTATGATTACAGACAGAGATATATACACACACATCAACTGTTATACAGGGGAGGGTTAAAAAAAATATTGTACGGTACCTAAAAACTAAACATTATATGGTGCCTCTAATATACCTTTCACACGCCGTCTTGATATCTACTCCCAGCCCACCAGGTGCCTCTCAAGTCTTACCTGTGTCTTCGGTACAGGTTTGGAAAATATAATATGTTTACTGTGGATGAGTTTAATTATAATGTTAGGTTAAGTTAAAGTCAGGTAAGGTTAAGTTAGTTCAAAATTGGGTTAGGTGAGGCCATAGTTACAGACATATCACACTACAGGAAGTTCTCTAAAAAAAAAATCTTAAACAACAGGACTCCAATTTTTAGACGTACTGAACACCTGAAATTGCTGGAACGCCTTCATAACAACGTATAAGTGACTGATGAAACTTTGATCTACCGCAAAATATTCCTTGAGGACGACACACACACACACACTACTGTACTGATCAACGGAGGCTGTGAGGGTGAGACGCCTGATAGCAAAAGTTGGCGTAGAGTGACACTATCTGGCTGCCAGTGTTCACGCGCCACGCCGCAGAAGGGACAGGCGCAACACACACGATCTTTCATCTGCAATCTCACAGCTCTCTCTCCCCTCCTGTGTATGTGTGTGTGTGTGTGTGTGTGTGTGTGTGTGTGTGTGTGTGTGTGTGTGTGTGTGTGTGAATTGTTCATATACTGTATGTTGTGTGAGTGTGTGTGTGTATTTATCTGTGTTGGAATTTGTAGGTAAAGGCATAGATTAAATTATAGGTAAAATTATAAGTAAACGTATAAGTAAAGGTAAAAGTATTTAAATATAAGTAAATTATAAGTGTTTCTGGTGCTGATAGTTGAACAGTCAGGGCCGGGAACCCCAAAAGTATCGTCGACCTTAAACTTTCCTGTTGTCTCAGCTGACCTGACCTAACCTGACCTAACCTAACCTGACGTCTACACAGAGCCGCAGGTACACACAGCCTTATGTAAACATGGTGGAACCTTATACACACACAGATTCACATGTACACATTCAAAGCCTCATGTGTACAAAGACCTTCACGTACACACGACTAAGTACAACACTCACAATATATATAACACTATATTCACAGCTCTATCATTGGTCTTAGTCGTTCAATATTAATTAAGTTTGGCGGGAGGGAGAAGGGGGAGGGAGGGAGAAGGGGGGAGGGAGGGAGAAGGGGGGAGGGAGAGAGGGAGGAGAGGATGTTGCTGTGTGGAGATATAGCAACAAAGCCCACCTACTTCATCCTTCCTGCTCTTCCTTCGTTCCTTCGATCCTTCTCTTCCTTCGTTCTACTCTCCCATCCTTCATTTCTCCCTACCTCTCTTCACCCCTTCCTTCCGTCAGTCCTCTTTTTTTTCCTTCCTTCCTCCTTCTCCCCCCTCCCTTTCTTCATCCCTACCTCTCTTCTTTCTTTCCTTTCTTCCTTCCTCCCTCCCTACCTACCTCTCTCCCTCCCTACCTCTCTCCCTCCCTACCTCCCTCTCTCCCTTCCCCCTTCTCCCTCCCTACCTCACTACCTCCCTTACTTTCCTTAGGGTTACTGTCATTCTCATTTCTCTAAATATATTTCATTCACCTCAAAGCTCTTTCTGTTTACCTTATTTTATGCCTTTCTCTTTAATCTCTAGTTACATCGTTATCTATTTTCCTCCATCTCTCTAGCTTGCTCTATTTTTCCTACTAGTTTCCCTCTATCTCTTTGTTCAACTATTCACTCCTTCGGCAGCAGTATCATCCCTTCCCTTGCTATCCATCTAACGTTTCTACATCCATTTCCTCCTCCTCCTCTTCTTCTTACTTCTATCCATCCTTCCTTTATTATCACGTTATCCCTTATCTTAGTTCTCACCAGCATCATCATCTCCTGGTTCTTATTCTCGCCTCACCCCACACATACCGTCAGGGTTCTCTCTCCCTTCTCTGGGCGGCGGGGAGCGGCTTCCATGTTATCGATTGGGACCTACCTTGCCAAACCCGCCCGACCCCGCCCAACCTGCACCAGACACGCCCACCTACCCCAGACAAAGACGCCGGGAACGGACGCCATCACTACACCAGCTGTGGAGAAGGCTGACAGCGTGGGTGATATACCTGTAGGGAGAATGTGTGTGTGTGTGTGTGTGTGTGTGTGTGTGTGTGTGTGTGTGTGTGTGTGTGTGTGTGTGTGTGGGATGTACCGGGGGATCCTAAGGTGTAGGAGGGGAACCTGAAAGCATGAGAGAGGGAACTTCGAAGGACTGAAGAAAATGGTAGGGAAGCTGAGGGTTTGAGGAGAGGAATCTGGGAGGAGGGGAAGAGGTGAGGTGCAGGAAATTGCAAGATTGAGGAAAGAACTATAAGGGGTGTCTACAGTCTGTGAAGGATCAGAAAGAACCTGTAAACTGACGGGAGCCAAAGTGTGTGTGTGTGTGTGT